CTCTCTCGGGCACACACTCTCGGGCACACTCTCTCTCTCGGGCACACTCTCTCTCTCGGGCACACTCACTCTCTCGAGCACACTCTCTCTCTCTCGGGCACACTCTCTCTCTCGGGCACACTCTCTCTCGGGCACACTCTCGGGCACACACACACTCTCTCTCGGGCACACTCTCTCTCTCTCCCGGGCACACTCTCTCTCTCTCTCGGGCACACTCTCTCTCGGGCACACACTCTCTCTCGGGCACACTCTCTCTCTCGGGCACACTCTCTCTCTCGGGCACACTCTCTCTCTCGGGCACACTCTCTCTCTCGGGCACACTCTCTCTCTCGGGCACACACACTCTCTCTCTCGGGCACACACACTCTCTCGGGCACACACACTCTCTCTCTCGGGCACACTCTCTCTCTCGGGCACACTCTCTCTCTCTCGGGCACACTCTCTCTCTCTCGGGCACACTCTCTCTCTCTCTCTCGGGCACACACTCTCGGGCACACTCTCGGGCACACACTCTCTCTCTCGGGCACACACACACTCTCTCGGGCACACACACACTCTCTCGGGCACACACACTCTCTCGGGCACACACTCTCTCGGGCACACACTCTCTTTTTCTCGGGCACACTCTCTCTTCTCGGGCACATCATCTCTCTTCTCCGGGCACACCCCTCGGCACTCTCTCCGGGCACACTCTCTCTCTCTCTCGGGCACACTCTCTCTCTCTCTCGGGCACACTCTCTCTCTCTCTCGGGCACTCTCTCTCTCTCTCGGGCACACTCTCTCTCTCTCTCGGGCACACTCTCTCTCTCTCTCGGGCACACACACACTCTCTCTTGGGCACACGCACACTCTCTCTCGGGCACTCTCTCTCTCTCGGGCACACTCTCTCTCTCGGGCACACTCTCTCGGGCACGCACACTCTCTCTCGGGCACACTCTCTCTCTCTCTCTCGGGGACACTCTCTCTCTCTCGGGCACACTCCTCGGGCACACTCTCTCTCTCTCTCTCTCTCGGGCACTTTTTTTTTTTTCTTTTTTTATACACAGGGTTTGACAAGGTTAAGGATCCCTAGCTTTATTGATAAGCTATTTACAGGTTAAGGATTCCTAATTTTATTGACAAGCTAAGAGCTGTTACCTACATCAGCTCATTTCAAAGTATTTTTATTGTTATGAGACATACAAGGAACAGGATGAAGTTGGAGCCGTTTTTGGGCCAGCATTTTCATCTGATCAACTATCTCGTTGACATCATAATGCTGTACGAATGTGTTCCATACTCGAGTCATACTGGGGATAAATGATCTCCGAAGAAGTGATGTTCTGGAGAAGGGTACAGCCAGAGTGAAGTTGCTGCTTTCTGCCCGTCTTGTGGCATAGAAGCTTGCTTCATACTGCCTTCGAAGTGGATCCAAGTGTGGTACTTTGAAAATATTGGCCTTGTATATAACAGTAAGGCCACCCACATCCCTCCTGTGTTGAAGGTTCTGCTGAAACGACAGATCCATCCAGGATGGGTCCAGGCGAAAGATGAGACGTCTTGCTCTGTTCTCTACTCTGTCAAGCAGCCATAGATGGGGGGGGGGGAGGCAAAAAGAAAGTGGAGCATACTCAAGGTGTGAGTGTACTTGTGCCTCGTACAGAATCTTGCAACCCCTACTGTCAAGCAGATGCGAGATACGGCGAAGTGCTGCAAGCTTCCTGGCTGCCTTGTTTGCAAGATTTACAACATGGTTCTTCATGGTCAGTTTGGAGTCAAATTTCACCTCTCTCTCTCTCTCAATCTCCATCTCTCTCTCTCTCTCTCAATCTCCATCTCTCTCAATCTCCATCTCTCTCAATCTCTCTCTCTCTCAATCTCTCTCTCTATCTCTCTCTCTCTATCTCAATCTCTCTCTCTCTCTCAATCTCTCTCTCTATCTCTCTCAATCTCTCTCTCTAATCTCTCTCAATCTCTCTCTCAATCTCTCTCTCAATCTCTCTCTATCTCTCTCAATCTCTCTCAATCTCTCTCTCCAATCTCTCTCTCAATCTCTCTCTCAATCTCTCTCATCTCCAATCTCTCTCTTCAATCTCTCTCTCAATCTCTCTCTCAATCTCTCTCTCAATCTCTCTCTCAATCTCTCTCTCAATCTCTCTCTCAATCTCTCTCTCAATCTCTCTCTCAATCTCTCTCTCAATCTCTCTCTCAATCTCTCTCTCAATCTCTCTCTCAATCTCTCTCTCAATCTCTCTCTCAATCTCTCTCTCAATCTCTCTCTCAATCTCTCTCTCAATCTCTCTCTCAATCTCTCTCTCAATCTCTCTCTCAATCTCTCTCTCAATCTCTCTCTCAATCTCTCTCTCAATCTCTCTCTCAATCTCTCTCTCAATCTCTCAATCTCTCTCTCTCTCTCAATCTTCCTCCTCAATCTCTCTCTCCAATCTCAATCTCTCTCCCCAATTCTCAATCTCTCTCTCAATCTCAATCTCTCTCTCAATCTCAATCTCTCTCTCAATCTCAATCTCTCTCTCAATCTCAATCTCTCTCTCAATCTCAATCTCTCTCTCAATCTCAATCTCTCTCTCAATCTCAATCCTCTCTCTCCAATCTCAATCTCTCTCTCAATCTCAATCTCTCTCCTCAATCTCAATCTCTCTCAATCCTCCTCAATCTCTCTCTCTCTCTCAATCTCTCTCTCTCAATCTCTCTCTCTCAATCTCTCTCTCTCATCTCTCTCTCAATCTCTCTCTCTCTCAATCTCTTCTTTTCTCTCTCAATCTCTCTCTCTCAATCTCTCTCTCTCTCTCCAATCTCTCTCTCTCTCTCAATCTCTCTCTCTCTCAATCTCTCTCTCTACTCTCTCTCAATCTCTCTCTCTCTCTCAATCTCTCTCTCAATCTCTCTCTCTCTCAATCTCTCTCTCTCTCAATCTCTCTCTCTCTCAATCTCTCTCTCTCTCAATCTCTCTCTCTCTCAATCTCTCTCTCTCTCAATCTCTCTCTCTCTCAATCTCTCTCTCAATCTCTCTCTCAACAGAGCCAATGTAGAGTAGCAGAAGGCAATCTTTTGCTTGACAAAACCATAATGCATGGTAGGTATCCACAATTGATTTATATCATGGGTTTCTAAGTATGTTAGTGTTGTACATCTATTTGCTAGGCCATAAGTGGGACAATGTAAAGCCAAGGCTGGTTTTAAAACAAAGAACTGAAGCAACACACTATGTTAGGAGGTTGAATAAAAAAACTGAAAAGAACTACAGGAGGGCCCCACTTATACGGCAGGTTAGGTTCCAGGCTACCGCCGTAAAGTGGAACACCCTTTTTTTCCACTTATAAATGCATACAAACACTAGATAACAAGTTTACACTAACATATATTAAGTTAGCAATAGAACCAGGCATCAAAAAACAATAAAAAAGTACAATACACACATAGTGCACTCATTACTTACCTTAAAATATTTATAGTCTTAATCTAGGGTGAGACAAGTAGTATTTATTGTAAGAAATCGTGTGGTATGTATTGTAATAGCCAGGCTACCTTACCAGGCCACCCCACCCACACATACTATTCTATGATATTTAAGCATCCCAGAGCGATAAAATGTATATACAGTTCACTCATTACTTACCTTAAAATATTTGTAGTCTTAATGTAGGGTCAGGAGTAAGTAAATGAGATAAAATGAATAAATGAGAGAGAGAAAGAATGAGTACATGAGAGGGGACAGGCGCAGAGTTATGTAAACAAACCAGGCGAACGTAAGTTTTGTAAACAAACGAAGTGTACACGTCTGGTTTGTGTACAAGTTACATTTTGTACAGGTTGTCTCTACATTGATATGGTAGAATTAATAAAGAAGAACACTCCCATTCTCATGTAACATCATTTTGAGAAGAAATGAAGCTCTGAGTGAAGGCAATGGAAATAAGTCATACTGACTTTTTTGGGTTATCCTAGGTTCTCTACACGTATGTTGTTAAGTATGATAATCTATGTAACTGTATTTGTGTATACCTGAATAAACTTACTTACATACATATGAAAGGAGTAATTTTCTACAGTTACCCCCAGTAACACATTTTCTCTTATGTTAGATTAGAGAAAATGTTATTCTTGCCGTCACTTGTACAAGTTATGTGGCTCCCACATCTTATATTTATGTTTATTTATTCTATTGTGGGGTGTATTTATCATCTTTTTATGTTATGTATCGTGTTTATTATATAATTTTGAAAAAAAAATATCATGGATGGATTAATGAAAATGTGTATATTAACGTAATATACGACATTTAATGAGACTCGGTGAGTATTATTATTATTATCATTTCTAATATGGCGTTACTTGTGCAAGTCGTCTGCTACCACATCTCACATTTATGTTTATTTATTCTACTGTGGGGTGTATTTATCTTATTTATATGTTATGCATCGTGTTTATTATACAATTTTGAAAAAAATATCATGGATGGATTAATGAAAATGTGTATATTAACGTAATATACGACATTTAAATGACTCGATGATTATTATTATCATTACTAATATGACGTCTGGAGACATAAGACACTTACCAATTTTAATGTGTACCTGCATGCCAGCACAGTATGTAAGTTTATTTAGGTACAGGTATACATAAGTATAATTATCAGAGTAAATATAAAATATGAAATAACTTATAAAAACATTTGAAATTTTGGAGTTTCCAGACAAAATGGAGAGACTTAGCGCTTACCGAGCTCATGGAGAATGTAAACAAACAGGGTGGGGCACGGTGACCGTATTAGAAAGTCAGGTGGGGGGAGCCGTATAGCGAGTTTTGGTCATAATTTGAAATGTCCGTATTAGCGGAACGCCGTAAAGTGAAACGCCGTAAAGCGGGGCCTTCCTGTACTGGGTTGGCAGTGTGTATCAGAGAGCAAGAGTTAATGGTGTGAGGACACTAGTGAATTAACAGATGTGTAAAGAATAAAGTTTAAGAAGTGCATGGCTAACAAGAGCTCCAGATCTCACCTGATGTGGATGTCCCGTATGGTTACCTGAATGTTGCGTATAACTTGGGCAATCAGCTTCTCATGAAAACTGTCTTGAGATTTTAATTTACTACCTGTTTAAAGGCAAAAGTGAAATTATAAGTTATTACAGTAATGCCTGTAATAAATTTTGCTGCACAGGATACATTTTGCACATATATAGTACATTGCATTAAATATTACAAATTCCATTTATTTGTACATCTTGGGATTTAAGGTACTAAAGATGAACAATTTGGTCATCTCCAGTATAAAATATTAATCCTCAAATATTTAACTAGCTGTAAGAGCACTTGATACATTTAAAAGTTCAAATTCAATCTTTACACCTACATGCTTCTTTCAATGTTTAACTTCCAAGTCTCCTGTTAGGAGAACAATAAACTTAATGAACTTGCTGCATCAATGACAGGATAGCATACTGGATAGACAAATAGTTCTTGGTTCCTCATGGCTTACCTTTCTCCATTTCTTTAATCTTCAGCTTTGCACTTTCTGCCCGCTGAAGTGTGGACATCTTTATCTCTTGCAGCAACTTTTCTTCGCGATCAGCATCATATTTGATGGATGTGTTAGGCACCACAATGACTAACAACCTTTCCACTATAGCCACCCATGGTGCACTATACAACTGTGACCAAGGTATCTTTAGTGTTAAACGCCCTGCAATTATCAATTTTGAGCTTTATTATTCACTTTACTTTCCAGAAATAGAGATCAATGTACTGGGCAAAGGCTTCCCAAATACCTAGATTTCCACTTATCTCTAGCATTTATTATGTAAATGCCACAAATTTCTGAGGATATCTTAAGTTAACCTTTCAGGGTCAATAATCCAAAATGCTGTTTTAGATTATCGGTTCAAACTTAAATTCATATTTATATTCCTGCATCAACTGTAAATTATGCTTAGCAGAAATAAAGTGTCATCTATCCTTTATCATCAAAGTTTAACTAGCCCATGTTTGGATAGACATGTATCTCAAAATACTTACTGTATAACAAACATTGTCTCATTAAAACTAAACAAATTACAAACAAATGACTATGTTGCCCATGGCTTACTAACAGCATACAAAGATCCACTGATAAGAAACATCAATATGAAAAGCAACACAGATAGGGTTTAATAACCAAAGATACTATTAACCCTTTGAGGGTTTTCGTCGTACTAGTACGTCTTACGCGTAGGGGTTTTTGACGTACTAGTACTCATAAATTCTAGCGGCCTCAAATCTAGTGGGAGAAAGCTGGTAGGCCTTCATATGAAAGAATGGGTCTATGTGGTCAGTGTGCACAGTCTAAAAAAAATCCTGCAGCACACAGTGCATAATGAGAAAAAAAAAACTGACCATTTTTTTTTAATAAATCAGCGACTTTGCAGTGTATTTTCGTATGGTATTTATTGTTGTATTCTAGTTTTCTTGGTCTCATTTTATAGAATGGAAGACATATTACAGAAATTGAGATGATTTTGACTGGTTTTACAAAGAAAAGTGCCTTGAAATTGAGCTCAAAGTAGCAGAAATGTTCGATTTTTACCAAACTTCAAAAGTACACAAATCGTGCCAAGCGTGCAATACACGTCAACTGGTGAGTCTAATATTCTTTCACAAGTGCACCAATAATATTTATACCATTTTTTACACTAATGCAGTAGTCTGCATAACAGTAAATCTTATATTTTTTGTGAAAATAAAAATTCAAAGTGGAAAGCAAAAGAATATAAGAGGGGCCTTGAGACGTTACTAATGACTAGAGGAAATGTCATTTTAGTGCTAGGAATGTCTTTCTTGTTTATTCTGGACCCTATTTGGAAATTGGCATCTTTTGAAATTTGTGTGAAATTGGCAAAATTGCTAAATTCTGACCACTGTACTGGATAGTTGAATTTCATAAATGAGTGGTTTCTTGCACCCATTCGATAGAAAAAATGGAGTTCTAGCGAAATGTTCATGTTTTTTGTCGACTAGTACAGTGAAATTGGCCGAAAATGGGGCTCAAAGTGGGCAAAATCGCCGATGCGTAAACATCGCCGAGACCGCTAACTTTGCGAGAGCATAATCCCGTAAGTTTTCTATCAAATTTCAAACTTTTGGTGTCTTTATGATCGGGAAAAGATTCTCTATCTTTTCATAAGAGAAAATAATTTTTTTTTTTTTTAAATTTGGCCGACCCTGAGAACGAGTTTCGGAGAGGGCCTGTCGACCCTCAAAGGGTTAAGTGATATGCATCAGTCCTTGCCAAACTAATAAGAAAGTCTAAGCAATTGTTCTATTCTAATACATTCACCATAACAAGAGGAGATATAAAAAAGACCTGAAAGACTCGCTCTCAGATCCTGGGCACTCACAAATGGAAAATAAATAGATACTCTATTGTCTTAACTAAACCAAACGAACCATAACTACAGTCTGCTCATACAGCTAACAATGTCAATAAATTCTTCTCAAGCATAGGATCAAATCTCGCCAGTAAAATTCCAGGTACCATTACCCGAGCAAGTGATTACCTAGATGGCAACTTACCAACTTCTTTCCATCTTGTGCAAACTGAGTCCACAGAAGTCACCATAATTATTAAGTCACTTAAAAATAAATCAGGAAATCTAGCTCAAGTCCCACCATTATTGTACAAATGCACTCACTATCACATTACTCTAACAAATTACTAGAAACCAGCACCTACCCAATATTACTCAAGATAGCAAGGGTTACACTAATACACAAAGGTGATAACCCAACAGATGTAAACAACTGCAGGCCAATATCAAACTTACTGTTGCTATTCAAAAATCTTTGAGAGGCTCATACACAAGAAAGTATACTCCTTTATAACATCACAAAGCATCTTCAACCACTGCCAGACCAACTTTACACAGCACTCAAAAAAATGAATATCCACTAGGACTCTTCATCAACCTAAGGAAAGCTTCTGATACAGTAGACCACAGCATCCTACTCCACAAACTTGATCATTATGGTATAAGAGGCCATGCACTTACATATGTCAAGTCTTACCTTACTAATAGACATCAATACATCTCAGCAACCTCAACAACAAGACCTCTGGACACTGGGGTACCTCTTATACATCAAGACCTCCCAAATATATCAACAACTTGGACCTATTCTCTTTGCTGATGACAACTTCTGTCATCTCCCACCCTAATCTTGGATGATTGCCAATAAACTTACACTTAATATTGACAAAACCTTCTATGTTATGTCTGGGAGCAGAACAGGTGATGCCCAACTGATTATGATTAACAACACTATTACTGCTAAACATAATGAGGGAAAGTTTCTGGGTCTGCACCTTGAAATTCAACACCCATATCCAGCACATAAAAAAAGTATCCCAAACAGTTTTGATCCTCTCCAAGATACATTACGATGTACTGCAACCAGCCCTACTCACACTATACTATTCACTGATCTATCCCTACCTAACCTATGCTATTTGTGCCTGGGGATCAACAACCCCCCTAAAGCCAATAACTCAACAAAAAGCTGCAGTACAAATTATCACACAAACCAATTCCAGACAGCACCCCTTTTCCCCACAAACCTATTCACTATACAAAATGTTCACACCTACTACTGCACAACCTACATTTACAGAACAATAAATTCAAATATTAATCCCAATCTAAAGCACTTTCTTGACAGCTGCAACAGGACCCCCATAGACATAATACTGGGCACAAAAATCTCACATTCCCCATGTTTGGCTAAATCTCTTCAAAAAATTTTATGTATATAAAAGGGCCCAAAATATTGAACTCCCTGCCTGAAATCTCTAGATGTACTAATTCAACCAACATTTACAAAACTACCTTTAAAAAATACCTCTCCGTAACATATCCCAACATCAGCTAATTATGTTAAAATTACACACACTTATCTTCACTGTCAGGAACACATTTGAAACAAAATAGATTTACTCTCCTTAACTGTAATTCTTCCAAACACTAAATGACTATAAACATAAAACTCCTAAAATTGTTATCACCTTCTTAATCTTAAGTTAGTCCTAAGTTTGCCTGTAATACTCTGTTATATAGGGGGCTTTCAACTTTGTAAAAATTGTAGCATACCAAGATAAAAACCATTCCCATTACTAAATTACACCCTATTATAAATCTTATCATAAAAATTCCCGATTACCTAACTTTTGCAATAATGTGAATTAATTAGCATTAGAATATACCACTCCATAACCTGCATCAATATAGAGCAGTCAGTAAGAATTAGGATTAGTCTGCCCGAAATGCCTAGGCATGCTAGTGGCTTTCACTGGACAGGTCAGCCATCGCTAATCTGGCAATCAGTAATTTAGCACTAATTTTGGAATTTAATTTCAAATTTCCAGAGTCGACACACCAACCTTCTGCTACTGTCTGGTGGCGCTACCAGCTGCACAAGTCATTCCAATTTCTTTTTCTCCATTTGTTATAACCTGCTTACTTTTAGCCCTAGGCATGGTTCAATGAAAGAAATGCTTTCCATTGTGTAAAGCACAAACAATGTACAATGTTCTTAAAAGATAAGGTGCTTGAAGCCCCTGTCAGTCACCATGTGCTCATCTCTCTCAGATGAACTGTGACCGGAAAATTTTGGCCAAAATAGGGGAAATAGGTTTGTGTGGCAAGGGGCCTATATAAAAAACCCCCGCACCGCACACACATGCAATTGAGAAAAAACCACAACCATGTTTTTGGTGTACAACAGTGACTTTGTGGGTATTTTCATAGGTTTTCATGGTTTTATTCTCGTTTTTTTTAATCTCATTCGATACAATGGAAATATATTACAGAAAAAAATATGATTTTGACTGGTTTCATGTGAAACATCCCTTAAAATTTGAGCTAAAAGTAGGGGGAAAATTTTTATTTTTGCCAATTTTTCAAGAGAAAACCCAGTGTGTTTCACTGTCCAATGTGTCCACAGGCCAATCAATATGCATCTAAATGGGTTGACATTTTTTAAACAATTACGGCACAAAATTTCAACCCTGGAATAGTTTGGGAAGGGCCTCTCGACCCCAAGGGGTTTAAAATTTACTTTCACTTGTTAGCGAAGAACGGGGAGAATGATAAAAGTGTACAAGTGGAAGAGGGATAAATAAAGGGGAAAATAAATAATTTTTGAGGATGTCTCTCCAAGAGAGAACCTGCAGTAATGGATTTAATCAGATAAGTTTAGATTAGAAAGGATACGGGAAAGTATTGGTTTGGAATGGGGTATTTGGGTGAGTGAAACAGTTGCCTAGTAGGGTTATCGAGCAAAAACCCCTTGGGGTATTTTTCAAAGTTAGGTTGGTAAATACATGAGTGGGGGGTTGGTTTGATGGGATTTGCACTGGGTTAATAAAATTTATAAAGCATTTTTTGGGGTAGCTTTGAAAATTGAGTTAGGCAAATATTTTTTTAGGGGGATGGATTGTGAAGGGCCTCCCTGGTAGGGGCCCAAAACGGGCCTACTGCAGGTTTCCTCCTTTCTTAAATTTTCTTACTATTATTTCTGTTGCTTGTCATCTTAAGCAGTAAAAACAACATAATACATCAGAAAATAAACTAAATTACATATTCACTTTTATTTTTGAAGATCGGAGGTCCAAAAAATAAGCGTTTGGTTTTTTTTGGGGCTCCCGGGAACATA